TATCCCTACCAAATTCATCCACCAACCTCTGCAACTTCTCTGCAGAATCTCCCAAAAGCACCGTGTCATCAGCAAAGAGCAACTGTGACAACTCCCACTTTGAGTCTGATTCTTTATCTCTTAACTCCACACCTCTTGCCAAGACCCTCGTATTGACTTCTCTTACAACCCCATCTATAAATATATTCAACAACCACGGTGACATCACACATCCTAGTCTAAGGCCTACTTTTACTGGGAAAAAATCTCCCTCTCTCCTACATACTCTAACCTAAGCCTCACTATCCTCGTAAAAATTCTTCACTGCTTTCAGTAACCTACCTCCAATACCATACGCCTGCAACATCTGCCACACTGCCCCCCTATCCAGCTTGTCATATGCCTTTTCCAAATCCATAAATGCCACAAAAACCTCTTTACACTTATCTAAATACTGTTCACCTATATGTTTCACCGTAAACACTAGGTCTACACACCCCCCACCTTTCCTAAAGCCTCCTTGTTCATCTGCTCTCCTACTCTCCATCTTACTTTTAATTCTTTCAATATTAACTCTACAATACACTTTACCAGATATACTAAACAGACTTATTCCCCTATAATTTTTGTACTCTCTTTTGTCCCCTTTGCCTTTATACAAAGGAACTATGCATGCTCTCTGCCAATCCCTTGGTATCTTACCCTCTTCCATACATTAATTAAATAAAAGCACCAACCACTCCAAAACTATATCCCCACCTGCTTTTAACATTTCTATCTTTATCCTATCAATCCAAGCTGCCTTACCCCTTTTCATTTTACCCAGTGCCTTACAAACTTCTCACACACTCACAACTGGTTCTTCCTCACTCTTGCAAGATGTTATTCCTCCTTGCCCTATACACGAAATCACAGCTTCCCTATCTTCATCAACATTTAACAATTCCTCAAAATATTCCCTCCATTTCCCTGAACCTCTAACTCTCCATTTCATAACTTTCCCCTCCTATTTTTAACTGTCAAATCCATTTGTTCCCAAGGCTTTCTCAATTTATTAATCTCACTCCAAAACTTTTTCTTATTTTCAACAAAATTTGTTGATAACATCTCACCCACTCTCTTATTTGCTCTCTTTTTACATTGCTTCACCACTCTCTAAACCTCTCTTTTCCTTTCCATATACTCTTCCCTCCTTGTATCACTTCTACTTTGTAAAAACCTCTCATATGCTAACTTTTTCACGCTAACTATTCTCTTTATATCACCATTGCACCTCTTCTTCCCTCCCGCACCCACTTTCCTGTAACCACAAACTTCTGCTGAACACTAACACTACATTCTTATACCTACCCCATACATCTTCAACCCCATTGCCTATACTCTCACTAGTCCATCTATCCTCCAATAATTGTTTATATCTTACCCTAACTGCCTCCTCTTTTAGCTTATACACCTTCACCTCACTCTTACTTGCAACTTCTATTTTCCTTATAAGCCATCTACCTTTTACTCTCACTGTAGCTACAACTAAAAAGTGATCTGATATATCTGTGACCCCTCTACAAACATGTACATCCTGAAGTCTACTCAACAGTCTTTTATCTACCAATATGTAGTCCAACAAACTACTGTCATTATGCCCTACGTCATATACTGTATACTTATTTACTCTCTTTTTCTTAAAATATGAAAGGGCTTCCATTATAATTTACACCTGGCACCTCAAACTTACCTACCACATCCTTTCTAAATGTTTCTTCTACTTTAGCATTTAGGTTCCCTACTACAATTACTCTCTCACTTGGTTCAAAGGTTCCTATACATTTGCTTAACATCTCCCAAAATCTCTCTCTCTCTCCTCTACACTCCTCTCTTCTCCAGGTGCATACATGCTTATTATGACCCACTTTTTGCATCCAATCCTTATTTTAATCTATATAATCCTTGAATTTACACACTTATATTCCCTCTTCTCCTTCCATAACTGATCCTTCAACAATATTGCTACCCCTTCCTTAGCTCTAACTCTCTCAGGTACTCCTGACTTAATCCCATTTATTTCTCCCCACTGAAACTTGCCTACCCCCTTCAGCCTTGTTTCGCTTAGGGCCAGGACATCTAACTTCTCTTATTCATAACATCAGCAATCATCTCTTTCTTATCATCCACACTACATCCATGCACATTCAAGCATCCCAGTAATTATGAATTAGTTTTTAGTTTTAACTTGTTTGTTCAGGTAGTGAAACTGCCTGTCTTAAGTTTGTATAGCTATAGTACAGGGTCACATCAACCCTCCCCACACATTACCATATAAACAAGCAATGACAAATATAATGAGCAGAAAACTTGATTTTTCAGTTTTAAGAAATTACAAAGCTTTATAAAAAAAATTTGGTTGGAAACTTTAATTTTCCCTACATGTTCTTCAGTTCATTTTAGATAGTTTTTACTTAGACTCCACTTTCAGGAAGTTAACTGTCTTCACTGACTGGCAACTGCAAGTAAAAATTTTTTAAAAACTATTTTCATCCTTCCTGTAAATATTTTAAGCCGATGAATAACGATTATATGCACTTTTACCACTCTTATAATTTTACAAATCTAGTCAGCAAATGTAATACTGCAAATGTACAGGTGCTCCTCGACTTATGAATGTTAGACTTAAAATATTTCAAGTTTATGATAGTGCAAAAGCAATTACTTTGGAGATGAAACATAAGATAATTATCCAGCAAGAAGGCAGCAGCTCCATAACTACTACTATACCTTTTCAACAAACCGGCCATATCCCACCAAAGCAGGGTGGCCCAAAAAGAAACAAAAGTTTCTCTTTTTAACCCTTTGGGGGTTTCGGACGTACTAGTACGGCTTATGACCCAGGGTTTTTGATGTACTAGTACGCCTAAATTCTAGTGCCCTCAAATCTAGTGAGAGAAAGCTGGTAGGCCTACATATGAAAGAATGGGTCTATGTGGTCAGTGTGCACAGTATAAAAAAAATCCTGCAGCACACAGTGCGTAATGAGAAAAAAAAAACTTGGACTGTGTTTTTGGATTAAAACAGCGACTTTGCATTGTATTTTTGTATGGTATTTATTGTTGTATTCTAGTTTTCTTGGTCTCATTTTATAGAATGGAAGACATGATACAGAAATTGAGATGATTTTGACTGGTTTTACAATGAAAAGTACCTTGAAATTGAGCTCAAAGTAGCAGAAATGTTCGATTTTTACCAAAGTTCAAAAGTAATGATAATGTTGACAATTCTGACACAACAGTAGCTAATGTAAAAAGTGCTGCTAATATTAATAATGATGGTATTGCTGAAGTAGCCTTACCTGTGTTACAGGTAAAAATTGATGATAAAAAGCATAAATCAAAAATGTAAATGCATTATTGGACCATGCTAAGCATCCAATACACATCAACTGGCGAGTCTAATATTCTTTCACAAGTGCGCTGATATTATTTATGCCATTTCTACACTAATGCAGTAGTCTGCATAACAGTAAATCTTATTTTTTTTTTTTGTAAGAATAAAAACTCAAAGTGGAAAGCCAAAGAAATATAAGAGGGGCCTGGGGATGAGACTAACGAACAGAGAACTTGTTATTTTAGTGCCAGAAATGTCTTTCTTGTTTATTCTGGACCCTATTCGGAAATTGGCGTCTTTTGAAATTTGTGTGAAATTGGCAAAATTGCTAAATTCTGACCACTTTATTGGATAGTTGAAATCGGTAAATGGGTGGTTTCTTGTACTCATTCAATAGAAAAAATGGAGTTCTAGCAAAATAGTTATGATTTTTGTCGACTAGTACACTGGAATTGGCCAAAAATAGGGCTCAAAGTGGGCAAAATCGCCGATGCATAAACATCGTTGAGACCACTAACTTTGCGAGAGCATAATTCCGTAAGTTTTCCATCAAATTTCATACTTTTGGTGTCATTATGATCGGAAAAAGATTCTCCAACTTTTCATAAGAAAAAAATTTTTTTTTTGTTTTGAAATTTGGCCGACCCTGAGAAGATCTGCCAACCCCCAAAGGGTTAATTTTGGTAATGTATACAGGAGATGGGGTTACTAGCCTCTTGCTCCTGGCATTTTAGTTGCCTCTTACAACACACATGGCTTACAGAGAAAGAATTCTGTTCCACTTCCTGTAACTTATATTCATTTATTTATTTTTCAATACTGGTATTAAATTATTTAGGTAACTATTTTATTCATTCATTCAGTGCTAGTAGTTATTTAATTACTTGTACAGCACTGTAAATTTCAGCATACAACTTACAGTATTTGTCTATGCCCTCTAAACATATTCTGTACTGACATTTGATTAGCAGCATACTGTTCAAGGAGTTGGTAAAAGCTTACTGGATTATATAGTGCACTTGGAAATTCTACTGTCTTAGAGAAAATATTTTGTTTTAGTAAACCATGCTCTCTCTCTCGATTCAAAATATTTTCTGCACTTTACATTCTGTTAACACCTTTATGCTACTCTCTTCATGATGTTCAATGGCAATCAGTGTAATCTTTTCTTCAACTAGTTTTCAGATACTGTACAAGAGAGCAACTGCTTGTAGCTCAGTAACAGTGTATTCTGAACATTAAAATGGTATAAAATACCGACAGATTGTTAGGTAAGACACATATGCAACAGTTAGGTATCTTTATTTCGAAATAAATATCTCTAAATAAAGATACCTAACTGTTGCATGTGTGTCTTACCGAACAACAGTGTATTCTGCTCAACTGTAGAACAGAGGTTTGATCCAAGGGTGGGTGGAAACAATGGATGTATGTTCTTATATCTGCTGCCTATTCATCCAACAGTACATAATTACTGTACCTAGACCTAGATGTTAGCTGACTGTTGTGAGTGGCATCCTGGAGTGTGGTAGTATATCTTACATGGGGCTAGGCTTCAAAATAAGCTGAGATAGAAAAACACCTCTTAGCTGTAAATTCATCAGTGTAATAACTATTTATCAAAGGCTCGTTATGAAGAAACTTACCGAGTAAAGGTCAGGCGACATTTCAGCTGCTGGGAACAGAACATCTAGGACAGCAAATACAAATGGTAATTCCACTTTCACATGGAATTCCTGTATGAGAACTGCCAGGTACTTAAACTGTGTGAAGAGTGGTGATGTCATCCTCTGAGCAATACTCACTTCACAGAATGGTTTGGCAACTGAAAAATTAATAAATTTATTGAACACTCTCCAAGATACTATGTTACTGCATTATTGTTTCTGTAACCCTTTCAGGAAAACTTATTTTAAGCTAATTAATTTAAACAAAATACCTGCTACTGCAGTCTTTACCAATTCCTCATATCACTCAACTGCTTCTACAGGAGAATGAAATCAGCTTCCTGCATCATAAACATTTTAACCATGTCACCTTACATTAAGTAGGTGGTTTCTAGAATAAAAATGTGCAATACAGGAAAGCCTCAATTAGTATGAATAATGAATCCTGCTAAATGATCACATTAACTGAACTCGTACTATTCGAAGCTGATGTACAGTAGACCGTCGTTTAACACGGTAGTTAAGTTCCTGAAAATGTTGTGTTAGACAAAACCTTGTAAGACAAACTGAAGAACTTATGGGAAAAATAGGGTTACGTTCCTGTGAGCCCCCAAAAAGCCAAAACTTTTTTTTAGACCAACAGATCTTACAAAATAAAAGTGAATATGTAATTGTAGTTTACTGTCATGATATATTACTGCTTAAGACTACAAATGCAATAGAAATAATAGTATTTCTTACCTTAAATTGTGGGTAATAGTGTTTGTGGATGATTGTGAAGAGAGTGGATAGAGATGGTGTGGCCCTATTGGGCTGAGGTGGATGGTTGTTGGTTGTTGGCAGAAGTGGATGGCAGAGGTTCTGGTACTGAAGTCGATGGTTGTATTGGATTGTGCACAAATTCTGTTAAGGATCTCTAGGCTCTTTTACCCTGCAGTACATTATACAACTCATAGTAAGGCATCATCAGCTGGTCTAGACCCTGTTTCAAAGCACTGCTTCTATATTTGTCTAGGTCCTCTTCAGTGAAAAAGTCTGCAACTTTACCAATAATATGGAACTGCTCACGTAACTGCTGCAATATTAACTGTTTTTCTTCAGGTTCTTCTTCATTTTCTTCTGTTATCTCCCTCCCTTGTATATGTGCATCGAGCTCTACCAACATTTCCTCTGGACTCTTGCCTTCGTCAGCATTATCTTCTAAGAATTCATTCACATCATCTTCATTCATATCTTCAAAACCATCACCTGGTAATCTCCTTTCCAGCTAAACAATTTCCTGAACCTGACTCTCAAGCAAGGGAAAACCAGTGAAAGAATTAACTACAGAAGGCCATAACTTTCCCCAGCCTGTACTTAATGTTGATTGGGGCACTTCATTCCATGCACTTCTAGCATAGCTGATGGCATCTGCAATGTTAAATTTATTCCAGAAGCTTGGTACTGCCAGGTTGGATTCAGAGTCCACTGATTGAGTCCATTTTTTTGTGTAGTTATACCTGAATGACTTAATAAATCCCCGATCCAGTGGTTGTATTAGAGATGTTGGAGGTAAAAATGCAACTTATACATGTGGGGTCACATCCAGCAAAGCTTGTGGATGAGTACGGAAATTATCAAGAATGAAGAGAGCCTTGAATGCAAAGTTCTTGCTGTGAAGGTAAAACTTGACTTCAGGAATAAAGTGATGTTTAAACCAGTCAATAAATATTCCCTGTCATCGATGCTGACTGGTTTGACCTCCAAATTACTGGTAATGTGTTTTTATCTACACCTTTCAAAGCATGAGGATTCTTAGAGTGGTAAATAACCATGGGCTTCCACTTGAAACCACACGGCGCATTACCGCAAAGGAGCAAGGTGAGGCGATCCTTTGCTGTCTTGAAGCCTGGTGCACTTATCTCTTGCTGACTGATTTAAGTTCGTGTTGGCATTTTTTAAAAAAAACACTTGTCTCGTCAGCATTAAATGCTTTATGTGGCTCATAGCCACCCTCAGAAATAATTTTCTGGAATTCAGCAGGGAAATTATTTACTGCTGTATGATCAGCTGAAGCACTTTCACCAGAAAACTTAATACAGTGGACCCCCACATAACGATGGCATCACATAGCGATTATTTCGCATACCGCTTACTTTAATCGCAAAATTTTTGCCGCGCATACCGATTAAAAACCCGCTCACCGATTTTCGTCCGAGACGCGTCCAATGTGCACCCTCACCCAGCCTCACATGTGCCGCCCGTGCCATTGTTTACCAGCCAGCCTCCGCGCTAACATCCAAGCATACACTCGGAATATTTCGTATTATTACAGTGTTTTCGGTGGTGTTTCTGGAAAATAAGTGACCATGGGCCCCAAGAAAGCTTCTAGTGCCAACCGTACACCAATAAGGGTAAGAATACCCATTGAAATGAAGAAAGAGATCATTGATAAGTATGAAAGTGGAGTGCGTATTGCCGACCTAGTCAAGTTGTACAAGAAACCCCAATCAACCATCGCTACTATTGTGGGCACCAAAAAGACAATCAAGGAAGCTGTTCTTGCCAAAGGTTTAACTGTGTTTTCGAAACAAAGATCGCAAGTGATGGAAGATGTTGAGAGACTCTTATTGGTGTGGATAAATGAAAAACAGCTAGCAGGAGATAGCGTCTCTCAAGCGATCATATGTGAAAAGGCTAGGAAGTTGCATGAGGATTTAATTAAAAAATGCCTGCAACTAGTGATGATGTGAGTGAATTTAAGGCCAGCAAAGGTTGGTTGAGAGATTTAAGAAGCGTAGTGGCATCCATAGTGTGATAAGGCATGGTGAGGCTGCCAGTTCGGACCACAAAGCGGCTGAAAAATATGTGCAGGAATTCAAGGAGTATATAGAAACTGAAGGACTGAAACCTGAACAAGTGTTTAATTGTGATGAAACAGGCCTGTTCTGGAAGAAAATGCCAAGCAGGACCTACATTACTCAGGAGGAAAAGGCACTCCAGACATAAGCCTATGAAAGACAGGCTTACTCTTCTCATGTGTGCCAATGCTACTGGTGATTGCAAAGTGAAGCCTTTATTAGTGTATCACTCTGAAACTCCCAGAGCGTTCAGGCAAAAGAATGTCCTCAAGGATAATTTGTGTGTGCTGTGGAGGGCAAACAGTAAGGCATGGGTCACTAGGGAATTTTTCTATAACTGGTTACACCATGCATTTGCCCCCAATGTGAAAGATTACCTAACTGAAAAGAAATTAGAACTTAAGTGCCTCCTGGTGTTAGACAATGCCCCTGGTCATCCTACAGACGTGGCAGAGCGACTTTATGGGGACATGAGCTTCATTAAGGTGAAGTTTTTGCCTCCTAATACCACTCCTCTCCTGCAGCCCATGGACCAGCAGGTTATTTCCAACTTCAAGAAACTGTACACAAAAGCTCTGTTTGAAAGGTGCTTTGTAATGACCTCAGAAACTCAACTGACTCTAAGAGAGTTTTGGAGAGATCACTTTAATATCCTCAATTGTGTAAACCTTATAGGTAAGGCTTGGGAGGAAGTGACTAAGAGGACCTTGAACTCTGCTTGGAAGAAACTGTGGCCAGAATGTGTAACAAAAGGGATTTTGAAGGGTTTGAGGCTAACCCTGAGAATCCTGTGCCAGTTGAGGAATCCATTGTGGCATTGGGAAAGTCCTTGGGGTTGGAGGTTAGTGGGGAGGATGTGGAAGAGTTGGTGGAGGAGGACAATGAAGAACTAACCACTGATGAGCTGATAGATCAACTTCAAGAGCAAGAGGCCAGACCTGGGGAAACTGGTTCAGAGGAGGGGAGAGAGAAATTTGAAGAAGTTGCCTACTACAAAGATAAAGGAAATCTGTGCAAAGTGGCTTGAAGTGCAAACCTCATGGATGAAAATCACCCTCACACAGCTATTGCAAGCCGTGTTGGCAACCTGTACACTGACAATGTTGTGAAACACTTTAGGGAAGTGATAAAGGAACGAGAGGTACAGGGCCCCTATGGACAGATATCTTGTGCGAAAGAAGTCCAGTGACTCTGAAGCTGGCCCTAGTGGCATTAAAAAAAGAAGGGAAGTAACCCCAGAAAAGGACTTAAATACCTCAAGTCCTAATGGAAGGGGATTCCCTTCTAAACAGTAAGAAGATAATGCTCTCCCCTCCTCCCATCCCATCAATCATCACCAGATCTTCAATAAAAGTAAGTGTCATGTAAGTGTGCATGCCTTTTTCAGTTTGTGTGTATTAAAATTAATATTTCATGTGTAAAAAATTTTTTTTTCATACTTTGGGTGTCTTGCACGGATTAATTTTATTTCCATTATTTCTTATGGGGAAAATTCATTCACATAACGATTATTTCGCATAACAATTACCCCTCTTGCACGGATTAAAATCGTTAACCGGGGGTCCACTGTACAGTGGAACCTTGACTTACGAGTTTAATCCGTTCCAGGAGCTAGCTCGTAACTCTTGCCTGGACCCATCCTGGATAGATCTGTCATTTCAGCAGAGCCTTCAACACAGGAGGGATGTGGGTGGCCTTACTGTTATGTACAAGGCCAATATTGTCAAAGTACCACACTTGGATCCACTTCGAGGACAGCGTGAAACAAGCTTTTATGCCACAAGACAGGCAGAAAGCAGCAACTTCACTCTGGCTGTACCCTTCTCCAGAACTTCACTCCATCTGAGATCCTATATACCCAGGATGACTCGAGTATGGAACACATTCGTACAGCATAATGATGTCAACAAGATAAAGTTAGTTGATCAAACGAAAATGCTGGCCCACAGATGGCTCCAACTTCATCCTGCTCCCTACTTGTATGTCTCATAACAATAAAAATGCTTTCAAATGAGCTGATGTAGGTAACAGCTCTTAGCTTGCCAATAGTTAGGAATCCTTAACCTGTAAATAACTTGTCAATAAAGCTAGGGATCCTTAACCTTGTCAAACCCTGTGTAAAAAAAAAAAAAAAAAAAAAAAAAAAAAAAAAAACTCAGTTTACTAGTATATCAAATTAATTTTCCTCATTGAAATTATCTGAAAAGCCTTAATTCACTCCTGGACTCTGGAGAGATGAGAAAAAATACTTGAATATGACGCTATTATCAATTGTATGGCTAATTTAGGTAAGAGGTAAGAGCAGCATGCCAAAGCCACTTGTATGCATAGCATTAC